GGGCCTACTGTGTGCCCCGCCAAGCCAGGGGTGGTCGGTGCTGCTCAGTTCCGCGGCCCTGCTGACAGCACCTCCCAGGCCCCTGGCGGGGTGGTCACACAGTGATGGCACTGCTGGGCTTCCCGCTGCCTGCCTCCATGAGGCACCTACTGTGTGCCTGGCTGGAGTAGGGCTGTGTGGGGGACAAGAGCCTCAGGGTGCCCGGGCAGTGGCACCGCTTCCACTCCTGTGGCAGGGGCGGGAGGGGACCTCCTTCGCGGTGCCCGCCTAGAGCGGGGTTCTGGGGGTTCTGCGGTTGAACAGGAGGCTGGTGGGGCCTGGCAGGGGAGGTTTGGGAGCCAGGGGAGGTGGGGTGTGGCCGAGTGGCGGATGAGCTGTCTGGGGTCACTCCTTCACCCCACTGAGCTGGCAGGGCTGGCGAGGGGCTGTGTCCAGCACTGCTGCGTCCACATCAGTGAACAGGTTTCGGCTTCCCCTGCCGTGCCCTGCGCTCTGGGTGCCCTGCGCTCTGGGTGCCCTGCGCTCCTTAGGTTCCGTCCCTGTCCTCCTTAGAGCCCTAAAGGTCGTGCCTGTGTCCCCACCTCAATCCCTCAAACTGGGGCGTTGGGGAGGAAGCCTCCCAGAGCGCGTGCGGGTGGCCCGGGCAGGCCCCGCGCTCGGGATTAGCTAGGAGGTCAGCTGGCTCCGGTGGCCCTGGTCTGCCCCTCGGCCGCTCTCCCGCCGGCCGCCAGAGTGGAGTTTTCAAACCCGGGCCCCGGGCTGCGCGCGCCGGGATTGGCTGCCGCCGGGCGCCCCTCCTCTGCCCGCGGTGCTGCCGGGCACGGCCGCGCATCTGTTTCCAATCGGCCGCTCTCCGCCCCCTCCTCGGACGGTGGCCTCGCTGGGGGGCCTCTGCCACGCGGTCGCTCCTTCGCTCCTGGTCCCCGGCTTGAAGGGAAAGGAGCCTCTCGGGCCCGCGCCCCTCCCCCGGCCTGGGGCTGGGAAGGGGGGACGCCCCCCGCCGGCCACTAGGCTGGGAGGGCTCCGCTGCCCCTTCCTGGGTCGGGCACCCAGCGCCGGGTCCGTCGCC